CATACTTGCACATCTATGGTTAGGAGACTTTTAGGACCTTATCATGTGAAACCATATTAAAGTGACATTTTTAAGGCCAACATTTCATTTTCTCTAAGCTTGTTTTGAATAGACATTTAGTAGAAACCTCACCCCATTCAGGATTTTAATCAAGAAAGAAAATTAAGAAAAAGTTAAGTCTGCTATCTAGGAAAAGGATCTATTAGGTCTTGTCTGGACTAGAGAAATGTATTCTTCTAAGAATCAATTTAGTCTTTGCAATGCACTTGTAAAATGTCACACATTCACACACAGAGAGCATTGCAGATACTGTTAAAACTAGTTTCATTAACTCTAAATGCTATTTCAGTCAGGCTGCATTAATGTCAGCTAAGTTAAAGGTTTACTGGCATTGTAGTTCATGCTGATCAAATAGCCTGCCCATCACTTTCCCCACAATACACTCACCCTTTGAAATCTGCCCAACTACACCACTTCTGAGAACTCTGCCAGAAAACTGTGGGATGCAATGCCTTTCACAAAGCACAAGCGAGGACAGAGCAAACCTGTGACAGCTTAGAAGGCTTATCAGCAGTGGACACTGCAGAGCTTGATTTGTTGCGTGAGAAACAATTCAAATTCCTGGCCTAGAGAAAGGCTTACAGCTACGGCAAAGCCTCCAAATTGGTATGAAAATCTAAACTTCAAATTCAGGTAATCTGGGCAAAGGACTAGAAGCCAGAGAGAAAGGCAGGCTGTGATCCATCCTCTGTTGGGAAAGAACAGGATGCCTAAAGATCTCTTTCAAGTCTGTTTTTCTAACGTAACACCGACCTATTGTCAAAACCACCTTGACACCAGAAAAATGAAAAAAACCAACCTGCTGAAACTTAAGAAAATCCTCTCTATTTCAAAGAGGAGGATATTTTCATTTTGCATCAGGCGTTCAGTAGCTTGCTGAGATTTTGTATCATCACATATAGAAATTGTCATGTTTTGCTCATTATAAAAAAAAGTCATAATGATATGACAGTAGCTGAAAGTCTAAAAGGATGACTGATGTTCAAGATTGACACACCATGTATGTTGCAATGAAAGACTGACACAGTTTTTGAAAAAATAAATAGATCACTTCCATTACGTCAGAGTATGATCATCAGGATAGCAACATGCATCTCTCACTATGTCATGAAAGAACATAAAACCAAAACATGGCATCACAAGAAGTCCTTGAATTTGTTTGAAATACATTTTAGCGAAACAAAATCAAATTTCAAAGTACTAACAATCCCTGCAAAACAGAAATTTAAAATTCTGATCAGCTCTAAATGAAAAATAGTTGCTTGCTTTTATTTTATTTTTATTGGCTGCTCAAAAGTACATTACATAAGCGAAAAGGCTAACAGAACAGGTTTTTTATTCTGATCTATGAAATCACTGGAAGTCAAAGATTATGATCTATAGTTGTTTCCTTTTGTACTCAAGATGCATCATAATACAATGCTAAGATCAATTAACAACAATTTTCTAGCACTGCATCAAGACTGTCTAAACATTATAAACTCTGTTGTAATTTTCGCATTTAGCAGTTTATTTCACCAAAACATTGTTGGTTCAAGACCATAAAAACTGTGGGAAACTCCATCTGTAAATAAATCTCAATCAAAATTTGTTTTCTATCACTGCTAGTTTTTCCAAGAGTCCTAATGCATCCTTTTCACAGAGCAAGGCATACAGCATTTAACAGTCCGCATGAAAAAACTACAGCAAATTTACTGTGGCACACTGTTCTGATGATCATACAATCATAGAATCATAGAATGGTTAAGGCTGCAAGGGACTTTCAAAGGTCATCTAGTCCAACTCCCCTGCAAGGAACAGGGATATCTCCAACTAGATCAGGTTGCTCAGGGCCTCGTCCAACCTGGCCTTGAACGTCTCCAGGGATGGAGCATCCACCACCTCTCTGGGCAACCTGATTTGATAGTTCTGATTTGAAAGATTCCAAGCATGGACGAACTATCGCCTGTTAGCCACAAATCCAGACAATCTCTAGAAGCTTGATTCTGCTTGCGATAAAACTGAGATCCAAGAACCCAAATCCCAAAGGCGAACAACAAACTTTAACAAATTCTAGCGGAAATATACTAGTAGACTAGTACTAAAACATAGTTTTTCAGTTCTTTGCATATTCAACACCACCTGATTGACAAAAAGTGGGGGACGAGCAGGAAAACAGAAAAACTATGTGTTTACAGGTGAGTTTCCTCAGTAGAGAAGAATGATTCCACGTGCTGCACTCATGGTTTGTGCTATGGCTGCTCTACTTCTGGACAACTCTACATTACAGGCACAGAAGGTATTCTCTGAACACATCGACTGCAGGCCCATCCATAGCGCTGGATCATTGACATGGCTTGGATCAAGGTGGGCAAGGCAAACAGTACCACAGGCAAAGGGCAGGAACGAACAAATCAGGCTCCAACACAACCTTCCAATGAGTTCAGCACAGGTTAGGCTGCAGAGACTGTACATGGCTTATCTTTATCATTTAGCAGGGATATCAGAAAGTCCCGAAGATACACGTCCAGAGTGATGATGGTGACAGAATGCCTGGAGTAGAAACTACAAGAGGTCACTTCTAGTTCTCTTCATGTGATACAACAGCATAACTGCAGTCCGCAAGGGAGAGGACTGCTTATCCTCATCCACACAGTTGCCCAAAGAAACTCTATGAACCCTTGTGCAGAGCTCCTCCTGCAGGCTATCCTAAAAGAAGTGACAAGCAAAGCCATTATGTGGCTTCAGAAAAGTCTCTTGAAACTTCCTGCTCCCTTCTACACGCATATGTCTCCTAGCTAAGATCTTCTTCACTCCAATGATAAGCAGCTAACTTTAATAAACTAGATATTACATTCCAGAATAATCAAAATACAGGTAAGTGACACAAATATAGTGATTTACACATTTGCCTTACTGAATCAACCTATAGCAAATACACAACATAATCCTTTCAAATAAACACCTAGCATTGAGACAGAGATCCACATTAGATAACACACTTCAAAGACACTTGGATTAATTATCTTCCATGAAAATTCAGGGAATACGCCTACCATACTGTCTTCCTGAACAGAAAACTCCTTTCCTAGGGAATGAAGTTTCACATGATCTAGCAAGCAGATCTAAAGAGTGAAGAAAAGTTTAACTTTATGTATAATCTCATATATTCTTCAAGAGTGTTATAAATATAAACTTCTGGCAGATATACTAATCTTCCATAAGTCTCCAGATTTCACAAGTGCTATTAAAATGAAGTTCTTGACATTGGAAGAAAAAGAAAGTAGAAGAACACCTTAAGCAATGCAGTATTATAAAAAGAGAAGAGAATGAACCACCCTTTATTACAACTCACAAACACATTTAGAGTTGCTCTTGAGGCCAAAAGATTTACTGGAGACAAAATACTACTGATTCAGCATGCCCATAATAATTTTATGTCAAAACTGTGAACTGCAAAGCAAAGCTGCCGCAATGCAAGAGTTGCCCATACTTTATCCATTTTCAAGCAGCAGCAGAAAATAATGGCTCTTTCAATAAGATATAAATTGCAAAACTTTCCTTTCATACTTTTTTTTATGAAATATTAGCTAAGAATCTATTTTAGTGTCTACAAAAAGAAACAGATATGTCAATAGAAAAGGACTACAAACGATCCCCAAGAGGGATAGACATAGACAAAGATTCAACCCAACTATATGCCCAAGGACAGCATTTACCAACTTTGAATTAATAAGTCAATTTCCTGTATTTTCTTTCAGAATTGTTTCAGCTACATGTTTATTTCCTCATGCACAGTGAAGAAAACTCACAAATACATGACTCACTATATGCATTATATGAAACATAAATCTGTTGCACATCAAGATCTCAAACTTCTGACTACTTTATTATTGGTATTTAAAGGCAAAAAATCATAATGTTGGGGAGTAAATCCTGACTGTGTTGTGGGAAGCACCATTAACAGATTTGAGACACCAATAGCTACACAGCTGATGCCGATCCAGCTACACAACGCTTTTTCTCTCCAAATTTAAGTCGTTCACAACAGCTTGATGTCCTGGAACAACTACCAAAAGAATACCTGCAGTGGTGTCCCACATCCTCCCCAGATAATGGTAAAGCAAGACTGAACAGGATTCCTAAGGAGAGGAATTGACAAGACACCTTTGTCATGGTGGAAGCCAGGAGGCGCATTTAAAGTCACACCATAATTTGACTGCTCAGTCATTTCAGTTACTTAAAAGCACCAGGCTTCAATCATACCATGTACGTGCATTTAACTTTGACCTTTGGAGACTTTCTGTAACACCAACCACAAGTTTTGCTGCCTAGCTATGCAAAGATGAACTTAATTGAGACAACTTCCATATGCAAGAAAAAACAAACAATTCCCAATTAGTGCACATTACTGTTCTGACTTTGCTAAGCACCGTGACCTTTCAGTCATACAATTCTTCTCAACTTTGTACCATTTCACCAAGATCTCTAGCTCGTTTTAATCCAGAAGTCAAGCAGTTCCCATCATCCATACAACATGCATCCAAGGGAA